CTTCCACAATTATGACCAATTAACTGATATAATTCGTCATCGACTTGCTTAATTATGAGAGTTTAACTAAATCTGGCCAATCAATCGGTTTAATTACTGATCTACCAAATTACTGATCAATTTATCTATTTATCCGCAGACGTATTTCATATACCACTGAATGGCAAAAATAATTAAATGGATGATACAGAACTGCTGAACTAGTAAATTACTTCATCAGTGGCAAATTTGATTAAAGAAGTCTAACTTAACTTGAGCTATTAACTTATGGTACATACCAAAATTTAATAAATTGCGAGGTTTCAGAGGTTATGTTTTGATACTGTTTTGGACATGATACGATTTGCCTTGGAATACTTCCTTTAATTATATCAAAACAAGACATAGAATCTATCCTTATAACAGATTCATGAGTCATACGTCAGTTGGCGCATAACTAACTGAAAATTATATTTTAATTCTCATTACACATGCTACTAATTATAATTCTCAAAACTCCCGTTACCAGTTGCCTACTGAGGAGGAGGAACTTTAGTAGACCAGGGCCAGACTGATAGTTGCGTACCTGCAGAGCTAGCTGCATGTCCTGTCACTTTGGTAGCATATACAGAGTACCAGTTCATGTAATCTCGCTCGTGATTAGCACGAGGTTGCTCTTCCGAACAAAATGCTAAGAGCTGCATCTAGCCCTGAAGTTGCTCAAATGCTATAGAGCGCTATTCAATGGCCCCTTGACAACTAGGAGCAAGGAGGCGGGGAGAAATCCGGCTCTGAAAAAATTATGTTCTAAGGAATAAGACATGTAGATTCCGTTTGGACGATAAACTTTCTTTGTTCCTTCAAGTGCCTCTTCATATGTCGTCATGTATACTCAACGGTGAAAGTCGTTTTTATCTTCAGCGTAGCTGTTTGCAGTTGAAGGAGCTCAGTCCATAGGCCAATGGTTGAAAGAGGGGAGGGGGAGACACCAGACCTGACAACCATTACAGGACGACCAAGGGATCAAACCTGCTTGCTACGTCAGCTCACCCTTCGAACAACTGTACATTCACTCATAAGACTATTTGTTGAAAAGACAATTGCAAACAAATTTAATGCAACAACTATTTACATGACACTTATAAGCAATAGGAAAAATAGTATCGAGGACCGATACCAACGATCTAGCGGACTGTTCGTACGGCCTGACGAGATCATGAAGGAGGGGAGGGGGATAAGCTTTGCGCTCGGAGGCGTCAATTTCACAATGAGCAAACGTACCAACATTTGCAGTCTAGTAACGCTGCGGAGCTCTGCGGAGCTACGTCGTAAATTTCTGAACGGCGGGCTAAACATTCACTCCAAATGACCGCACTTTGATTAGTGAGCGTTTTTCGAAGGCAATTTCCTTCAAATCTTGAGACGGCTCAAGTGTGCCGGCAAATCAACGTGGATCACAACGCTAAGAAGATTTGGAATGCAGTTTGGGAAACACTTTGACCAATGAATTTTGCGGAAAAGCGTTGATCAAGAATCGTTCTAGCAACAAGTAGCATAAGCGGCGGTTCAACGTCGGATTCTGCAGAGCTTCGAAAAATAAATATATGCCTTCGCGGGTCGTCTCGTTGCCAATGAATAGTTTGAACTCGTCTACAACATTCACAAAGTCATGAACAACGCTACGAAAAAACTGTAGCACTTAGCGCAGTGACATCACTTTAAAAATGAGCACAAAAATTACGCCAATATGGTTTTAATCTTTTAAATAAGTTTTTTAAACAAAATATCTCATCATATAGATTTTGTTACAGAAATCACCGACGTTTCTAGTGGTCCTTAGCTCGATGCTATGCTGAAATCATAAAAACAGATTTCGTAAAAGTCAAATAATCTATCTTAAATTAAGGTCCATAAAGGGATTAACAGCACAGTTGTTTTCGCATTCTGCTTTGACGACTACGAAATTTTTGCCTGTCTCCTAACTCGTTCTTGTTGTGCAGTGTACAGACTTCAGTACATTTTCAAGGAACATAATAGATTTATCCATGTTGTTTATACTGCGGCATTTCCGTTGTGACATTCGTTAGCTGAACAGAAAGGGTGAGCTCAGACTTCAACACACCTTTCAAGCGGAGAGGTAAAACGACCATTCGTAGTTTCTCGCTCAGGTCGCGTAGGCATGGAAAACATATTGCCCTACTGGTCACTTCGTCACTTTCAGTTTTCTTCCATGTATCAACCCGGCTCATTTGTTGATCAACTGCTTCTTCTACGAGGCGCTTAGCAGAGCTGATACTTCACAGTGTTTTCCTTGAATAATTCAGTGCTTTCTGAAAGCCACTTTCAAAACAACTCAGTCTTTGACATTCGCTAACCATAGCAATGATTTTCTTTACTGCATGCAAATGATTTAAAGTTAATGGTAGAAATTGGTTCGTGATATACCTGTTTCATAGCAGTTCGCTTCCCGTGCAACAAAAGCATCCAAAACGGGTAAATTGCTGTTGTTAAGTTTCGATTATGAATTTGATGTCATCTGGGAAGTGTGTCAACATGGCTTAAAACAAGAAAAATTGAGCGAAACGTTTAGAAAATACTGTTTTAATGTTGCTAGCCGATGTTTCGAAAAAATTGATTGAAAATCTTCCACAAAAATTTCGGCAGCGGTTGGCCACAAAAGGTTGGCCATAGAAGTTGTCATGTTATGTTGATGCAGTAAGCCGTTGTTCTACAAACAGTAGTAATCGACCAAGCAGATGTTAAAAATATTCTGCACAGACTCTGCCGAAACAGCAGATCACTTTCTGCACTAATCTACTTCAATCCATACAAATGCAATTAACCGTT